AAGTTTCATTTGAGAAATCAGCTGATTTGTAGGTAATTTTCTGCTTTTCTCTTGCTGCTTTTAAAAGTCATTCTTTATCTTTAACCTTTGGCATTTTAATGATGATGTGTCTTAGAGTAGGCCTCTCTGCATCCATCTTGTTTGGGACTCTCTGTACTTCTTGGATTTGTATGTCTATTTCCCTTACCAAATTAGGGAAATTTTCTTTCATTATTTTTTCAAATAGGTTTCCGATTTCTTGCTCTATCTCTTCTCCTTCTGGTACCTCTACAAATATTGGACTGCTCAAAGTTTCCCCAAAGGCTGCTTAGACTATCATCATTTTTTTTATTCTTTTTTTCTTCTTGTTGTTCTGATTGGTTGTTTTTTTGCTTCCTTATGTTCCAATTCATTGATTTCATTCTCGGCTTCATCACCTCTACTGTCGTTTCCCTGTAAATTGTTCTTTATTTCAATTTGTGTATCCTTGGTTTCTGATGGGATCTTTTTTATGCTTTTGAAGTCCTCACTAACGTCCTTGAGCATCCTTATAACCAATGTTTTGAGTTCTGCATCTGATAGATTGCTTATCTCCATTTTGTTTAGTTCTTTATCTTAGAAGTGCATTACTTATTTGCCTATATTGGTGATTTTCCTAGATAGTTTATTATTAATTTCTAATTTAATTACTTATGATAAGAGAACATACTCTGTATGACTTAAATCTTTTAAATTTATGAAGACATGTTTTGAGGCCCAGCACAGAATCTGTCTTGGAGAGTGTACTACATAGACTTGGGAAGAATTTGTATTGTGTAGTTGTTGTATGCAATGTTTTAGAAATATCAATTAAGTTAGGGTAATTAATAATGTTGTTGAGATAATCTATATTTTTACTGATTTTTTTCTAGTATTCTTTCAGTTGCTTAGAGACTTATTAACGTTTTCAAATATAACTGCGGAATTGACTATTTCTCCCTTCACATATTTTGAAGCTCTGTTATTTGCATATATATGTATATACATTAGGATTGTTATAGCCTCGTGATTTGACTTTTTATTATTGTAAAATTCTCTCTTTATCATAAGTAATTATTTTTTTCTTGAATGTATTTTATCTGATATTAATATAGCCACTCCACTTTTATTATCTCTCCTATTGCTGTGGTAAATCTTTTTCTACCCATGTATTTTTTTACCTATCTGTGTCTTTATATTTATAGTGAGTCTCTTGTTGATAGCATGTATTTTTGGGTCTTGCTTTTCTTATCTATTCTGACAATCTGTGCCTTTTAATTAGACTGTTTCATCTATTAACATGTAATATAATTATTAATATAATTGGATTTAGGTTTAGCATTAAATTATTTTTGTTTTCTCTAATCTTTATTCTTCTTTTATAACTTTCCCATCCTCTTTTGAATTCCATCTAAATCTATCTATTGGTTTTTCAGATATACTTTGTATTTTCTAAGTGATTGTTCTAGAGCTTTTTTATCCAGCATCATGCTTGTGAGTCACCCGTGGGTATTAAAAACTTGAAATGTGGCTGGTCCCTTTGTCTCCTTTGCCCCAGTGTATCGCTGTGTTGTTGAGGCTATATTCTCTCTCCCCTCCAGAAACCTCCATTTTCACCAGAAGAAAGAAATAAACAACGTTAAAATCAAAATAATATCAGAGGAATTACACCTTATACCTAGGACAACTGTGTTTCAGTATAGTATCAGTTGTTAAAATACTGAAATTCTTCTGTAAAGAGTTTGTAAATAGCCATATGGCAACTTGCCTGATCCCCTAACCCCAGATACCTTGTACCCCTCCAGCTCTCTCTTAGGACCCCCTCAATATAATCCAGAAACTAAAGACTTACACAAGGTACTCTCTGGAACCCAGCTCCAGGTCTGTGAATCCATACTAGTTAGTTGGTGCCCTCTTTTACCAATTATTGAAATATCCAATCCATATGCTACCATTGAAATAATCTATTAATGATAAACAGAGTATCAAACATTTCAGTCTGAAGCACTGAGGTTATTCTGCAGGTTCCAGATTTTTTCCAAAACAATGAGTAGTTATCAACCCTCTATCTACATGAATAAAAATTGGATAAAGGGATTCTTCCAGAAAAACAGACAAGACTTCCCCAAAGATACATTTCTGCTTCTACTGTAGAGGGTAGAAACTGCTGTTTGAAAAAAAAATTACTCTGCTGCGCTGACCTAGTTTTTTGTTGTCATTTTGTACTTGCCATTTTTGTCTCTTTAACGTGAATTACTCCATCAGCCCCAGCACAGTGCTGGCAACACAGCAGTGGGTGTTTGATAAGTGCTTGCTGAACAAAATTTTAAAATTTTTCTCCAGAGGGCTCCAACATGAGGGCACTCACTGCATGAGTCCAATATACTTGGAGACTAAAATGATAGTGGGTTAGTATCTATTTTACAAGGTAAAGATGAGTTTGGCACTGCTTGCAAGAAAGAATGAGGAAGCACAAATGCCCTCTAGTCTTACAGATAAATATAAAGGTGAATTTGACAATTAGAGCTTAATGGTGAAGACAAAAGCCCTGGCAAAGTGATGGGCCTCCTCTGCTTCCCACCCACTCACTACTCCTCTTCCACATGGAAAGGAACAGGAACCGACACAATAGAGAAGTCATGGAATTTTTTAGATTGAAGTTTTAACCCTCAGGATGAACTCGACAGTGAGACTTACAACACACACACACGCACACACACACACACACACACACCCCCAAGAAGCTATAAAACACCTAAATACCTAAATGTCCAGGAATAGAGAATAATTGAGTAAGTTTTATATATTCTTACTATGGGAGACTATAGCTATTAGAGGGAATAGGGTAAATTTGTGTATGTCCTGATATAAAAGGCGTACGCGAGTTACTGCTAGGTGAAAAAAGCCAACTGCTGAATAGTTGTAAACTTGTTCTGATATAAGTTCTCTTACAGTGCTGTGCTGGAGCTCACTTGCTCTGCCTCTCAAGAACCAATTGTTACGTTTTCAGGAACTGGGCAAGCGGGTTATTAAACAGTGAGATAGCTTAGAACCGGCCATCATGAGTGTATTTGCACCAAAGAAATCAACACCTTACAAATAAGGGCTTTTCCCCCCTGGAGAGTTGGTTTACCAGCACACCACTGCTCAAAAATATGCAAATAGAAGTTTGTATAAGTATACAGAATTACCTGGAATGGCATATAACAAAGCTATGAATTTTTTTCCAAGATTTTATTTATTTTTAGAGTGAGGGGATGGGAAAGAGAAAGGGAGAGAAACATCAATGTATGGTTGCCTCTCGCACACCCCCAGCTGGGGACCTGGCCTGCAACCCAGGCATGTGCCCTGACTGGGAATCGAAACAGCCATCCTTTGGTTTGCTGGCCAGCACTCAGTCCACTGAGCCATACAAGCCAGGGCCAAAACCGTGAATTATTAATTGCACATCCTGATTTTGTAATCTAAAGAAAAGCAAAGCCACACCAATAATCTCACAAGAAAAGTGAATGCTACCATGATGTAAATTAAATGCGTTTAAAAGTCCAAGCACAGAATCTTCTGATGATTATGCTCATTTTTTTGCAAAAAGGCTAAAGTAATCTAATCTATTTGGTGAACTTATTATTTCAAGTCTATGTTTAATACTAAAGCTGTCAGAGCTACATTATGGTGCCAAACCCATACTTCATACAAGTTTAACAACTGGTTCAAAAATATTTGTAACATTGATAATGGGAAAATGTTTACTATTCTTAATATGTGATGATCCAAACAAATACATCTCTATGTGGATATATCTCTATAAAGCACATTCCTAAATTTAGAATTTTGCTGTCAAAACATAAATATAGTTTTTATTTCTGATAGACTGCCAAATTATCATTCAAAAGACAGTATTAATTAATTCCCATCAACAATGTATAGAGGCCACCATACCAATACTTGATATTGTGAATATTTTAAAATATTTTAACCATCAAACAAACAAAATTTAACCACAAAAAATAAAAAGGATTTCTGGATTTCAGTTACCAGTTTCCTGATAATTATTAGTTTACTTTTAAAAAATATTCATTAACTATTTGTGTTTTACTTTCTTTAAGTGACCTAGTTACCTAATCATAATCTTTGTCCATTTCTTAACTGGATTACCTTTTTCTCATTGACTTGGAGTTCTTTAAATATTGCATCAATTGACTTTTTATCTGACAAAAATGTTACCAGTGTTTGTTTTTACAATCTGTTTCTTGTCTTTTAAACAGCTGGTGTTGTTTTGTAGAAGTTTTTATTTTTTTCTATATTCATATATTTCAGTCTTTTCCTTTATGGCTTCTGAATTTTGTATTATACTTAAAGGGGCCTTTCTCACTCTAAAATGAAGAAAAAGAAAAGCAACTTTGCCCTAGTTCTTGAGTAAATTTTCTGTGTGTGAGGGAGAGAGAGATTTAGATATATAATTCATCTGGATATTATCTTAGTGAACATGTAGAGTAGAAATCAATTGAACTAATACATTATAAGCCCTTACCCATTGATTTTTAAATGCCATATTTATTTATTTGTACACACACACACACACACACATACATACACACATTACATTTTACATGGATTCCTGAATTTATATTATTGAGGAAAACTTCAGAATAGTTATAACATTTTTTCATGAGAGTAAACAAAGCCCTTCAAATGATGTTTAACTACTATTCTATAAACTGTTCATTTGGTCATTTCTGTGGTAAAAAATTACTTGGCAATACAGCTACCGAGTGGTCTCATTTGATAATATACATCTTCCTAGAATTGTCTTCAATGCTTGATGCTGAAGTAAACTGTGAATAAAATGTGTGTCTAGCGTAATGTAAATTTTTAAATCTCTTTTTGAGGATTAATCTACATTATGCCATTAAAAATGTATAAAAAAGAAGTGCTTCTCAATGTAGCAATTCAAAAATCAAACAACAATTAAAATGATACCATGCCTGTTTTTCTTTTTCTAGCAAGCTCTTGCCTGTGACCGTGTTTGCCAACATGGCCCCCAAAAAGAAGACTGTCAGAAAGAACAAAGGAGAGATCAATGAGATGACCATAATTGTAGAAGATAGCCCCCTAAACAAACTAAATGCTTTGAATGGGATCCTAGAGGGAGGCAATGGCCTTAGCTGCGTTTCTTCTGAATTAACAGATGCCTCTTATGGCCTCAACCTCTTGGAAGGTTTAAGTAAAATGCGGCAAGAAAGCTTCCTTTGCGACTTAGTCATTGGTACCAAAACCAAATCCTTTGATGTTCACAAGTCAGTAATGGCTTCATGCAGTGAGTACTTCTACAACATCTTAAAAAAAGACCCATCTACTCAAAGGGTGGATCTCAATGATATCTCACCGCTGGGCCTGGCCACTGCCATTGCATATGCCTACACTGGAAAGCTGACTCTCTCCTTGTATACAATAGGAAGTATTATTTCTGCTGCTGTTTATCTTCAGATCCATACACTTGTAAAGATGTGCAGTGATTTTTTGATACGAGAGATGAATGTTGAGAATTGCATGTACATTGCTAACATTGCCGAAACGTACTCTCTGAAAAATGCAAAAGCAGCGACCCAAAGATTTATCCGGGATAACTTCCTTGAATTTGCAGAGTCAGATCAATTTATGAAACTTACATTTGAGCAAATTAATGAACTTCTTATAGATGATGACTTACAGTTGCCTTCTGAAATAGTAGCATTCCAGATTGCTATGAAATGGTTAGAATTTGACCAAAAGAGAATGAAATATGCTGCAGATCTTTTGAGCAATATTCGCTTTGGTACTATCTCTGCACAAGACCTGGTCAATTATGTTCAGTCTGTACCAAGAATGATGCAAGATGCTGATTGTCACAAACTTCTTGTGGATGCTATGAACTACCACTTACTTCCGTATCATCAAAACACACTGCAGTCTAGACGCACTAAAATCCGCGGGGGCAGTCGAGTCCTTGTCACTGTTGGGGGACGACCAGGCCTTACTGAGAAGTCCCTTAGTAGAGACATCTTGTATAGAGATCCTGAAAACGGATGGAGCAAGCTTACAGAAATGCCAGCCAAGAGTTTTAATCAGTGTGTAGCTGTGATGGATGGATTTCTTTATGTGGCTGGTGGTGAAGACCAGAATGATGCAAGAAATCAAGCCAAGCATGCAGTCAGCAATTTCTGCAGGTACTTGATCCTCTATTGGAAATGGTTCAATATTATGAGAAAATTGCCCTGACATAGAAGTAAATTAGTCATGCCTATTAGCTTAGTTCATTAGCTCAGTAAATTAATAATATTAATAATAATATATACAGGGTCCAGCAGAAGTAACGCCTGCTTGAATATGGTTGGTAGAGTAATAATATGGGTGTAATAATTTGTAGTTTTAATTTGAACATTTCACCTAAAATGTCATGTGGTGTGCTTGAGTGTGACATTGTGATGGTACAGAATTGCATGCTTATAATTTTGTAAAAGATTTTGTAATAAAAAGGGGCGTTATTTGTGCCAGAACCTGTATAATAATGCCTATTCTATACACACACAACACTTCACCTTATAAAAAGTATATTCATGTACTCATTTCTGATAAGCCTATGAAGTGAGCAAGGAAAACAGGATTATTCCGATTTTACATGTGAGAAATCTGATACCCAGAGAGGTTATACCACTAGTAAGTGGCAATTCACATTTTCTCATTTCTAGCTAGGTGCTCTTCACAGTATACTACTTTTTTGAAAGACACTGGGTACAAATTTAGTTTCTAACACTAAGTGGTAATAAAGATTAAAATAGTACAAAATATCTTTTAAGTGATTATTGATGACTGTCTATCTGCCAATAGGATGAGATCATTAAAAATGTGGCAGCTAATTAATTTTAAATATTTATTTGAAGAGTAAATACCAGGGAAAATGTCAATATTTCTGAAGTGTGAGGAAAAGTGTAAAAGACATAATCCTTCAGAAACTGGAATTCAAGTGCCATACTATTTTTGTATATTTATTATAAAAAATTAAATTTCCTTATACATGGAATGTTCAGAAAGTCATGCTTACAGAGTGAAACATAACTAATGAGCAAGATCTGAAAATGTATACAGTATATGATAAAAATATTCTTAATTTCATTGTGTGTTATTTAAATGAATTCAATCAATTCATTGATTTTTAATAATCTATAACCTTAGTTAAGTTTTGACTTAGAGGTTAAATGGGACAAAGACAAATGAACATCAAAATGATGGAGTTCTCTGTTTATAATACCTAAGACTATGTAAACAGGAAAGCATATTTTACTATTACTGCTTATTTTCCTCCACTGATAATTCAAATATTAGTACTCAAAACACTGATTTTGCAGTGTTATTTCAATGCTTATGGTATAATTACTTACTGTAATATTGAACACTGACAAATATATCCCTAAGCTAACAAAAATTACCTGCTTAAAAGTACTAGAAAATAGAAAAGTATCAAAAGTTAAGGCTTTGTTGATGCTTTTGGACATGAGTCTCATTGATCTCATTCTAAACAGATGACTGAAGACTTGGTTGAGTAACTTAGCTTTACTGTTGCAATGGCCAGGGTAGGTGTATGAGTAAGACCAGGGTTATGAGATATTGAGAAATCCAATTAGCCAACTCCTATCCTTCTCACTGTCTCACTATCTATTAGGCAGTGAGAATGAGCTAGGGATATGTGGGACTGACTTTAACGTGGCTGTGTTCCCTTTTGTGATTGCCACAAATACCCCTCTTCTGCCCCTTTCCCCACACGCAATCTCATAGATCCTAATGGATGATGGATATTTGAATATGGAGGACAGGGAACTGGCAGACCTGTCTCTGTAGGGTCTTCTCTAAGTGACCCAGTAAAGGCAGTGAATTTATAAACAGGAGGGGAGTCACCAAGCAACGCCTGCCTTGCTTCTTCCCAAGTGTTACACTTTTTACTGGTTGAAAGAGAAACACCAAGCTCCAGGTAAGGAGCTGTGCTCTGTCCGTAGCCTCCTTGCGTGACAATGTCAAAATTCTCAAGGTAGGGTTTGTGGAGTAACATGGGTTCTCTGGCTGTCACCAACAAGGCTATCACACTTCCTCTGCCATTCCCAGGTACGATCCCCGTTTCAACACCTGGATACACCTGGCCAGCATGAACCAGAAGCGCACACACTTCAGCTTGAGTGTGTTCAACGGTCTCCTTTATGCCGTGGGCGGCCGCAATACAGAAGGCAGCCTTGCCTCACTGGAGTGCTACGTGCCCTCCACCAATCAGTGGCAGCCGAAGACACCCCTGGAGGTGGCGCGCTGCTGCCATGCCAGCGCGGTCACCGATGGCCAAGTGCTGGTGACCGGCGGCTACATCAGTAACGGGTACTCACGCTCAGTGTGTGCGTACGACCCAGCCAGAGACTCCTGGCAGGAGCTGCCGGGGCTGAGCACGCCTCGAGGCTGGCACTGCGCGGTCACGCTGGGCGACAGGGTATATGTGATGGGGGGCAGCCAGGTGGGGCCGCGCGGGGAGCGCATAGACGTGCTGACCGTGGAGTGCTACAGCCCCGCCACCCGCCAGTGGAGCTACGCTGCGCCGCTGCTGGTGGGCGTGAGCACCGCGGGTGTCTCGGTGCTGCACGGCCGCGCCTACCTGGTGGGCGGCTGGAACGAGGGCGAGAAGAAGTACAAGAAGTGCATCCAGTGCTTCAACCCGGAGCTCAACGAGTGGACCGAGGACGACGAGCTACCCGAGGCCACCGTGGGCGTGTCTTGCTGTACCCTCTCGATGCCCAACAGCGTGACCCGGGAATCCCGAGCCAGTTCGGTGTCCTCTGTGCCAGTCAGTATCTGAACCCAGGTAGATGCGGAGACGCGGGAAGAACAAATATTTATTTGTGGTTAACCTTTGAGTTTGCGCAAAGGAAAATATATAACATTTACTACAATAATTGCATTTTAAAATATATCGAGACATTCGTCTTGATGGTTTTAAATTCCTGGTATAGCATCATCTACCTCTTTTTTTTTTTTTTTTTTTTTGGTAAACAAAATTAAAGGCCATAGCCGACGAAGAAAAATAGAATTTATTCCAGCTGCCACTGGGTGGCAGACAGAAATCGTTGTAGGCTCTCTTCCATCATGGCATGTTTCGCAAATGCACAGCGGTTATACCCACATTTGAGATTCCCCCTATCCACTTTAGTACACATGACACTTAGGTAAGTGGTTTCACTTACAAAAGTGTTTTTTCTCTTTTTTTCTTTAGGAAGTTGAAAATATTCATTGATAGGTTTTATTTTTAAATGGAACTCTATATCTATAAAGACTTAAGATTTAATTCTAGATTTCAATGCAGTTTCTTTTCCTGTACATGACTGAGCAGTGGATTTTGAAAGGCATCCCATGACAACGTCCTAAAGCTTAAAACAAAGCCTGACCAGAGAGCAGTGGGGACCCCACCTGGGGGCTGTCGGAGTGAAGCCTTTGGTTTATCCCCAGCCCCTCTTCCTCCATGCCTCAAGGCCCAGTGTGTTTCCATCAGAAAAATCTGCTCTCAAAGGAGGAACTGATGTTAGTCAGTTTATAGTGTAAGTTTAAATCATTTTGTCATTTCTCCTAGGAGTATCTGTATTTTAATCCATGTTCCCTATTAAAGGAATTGCAAGTATCTTGGGAGGCTTACACTCACCCTAAAAAGCTACACCAAGATGATAAAAAGCAACCTTGACCCTAATGTAAGCCCCAGGAAGAACACCAAATAAAACTACATCCTTCAGGGTCATTCACTTAAAGCTTCTATAGCCTGAAGGTTACTCAGCCAATAAAATTAATTTGATTTCTCCCATTCTTATAGGGATGAAATGGAAGGAAACATTTGGAATTCTTGGATTTGGCCATAACAGGATGAATGGGTTCTCCTGCTGGCAAACACCACTGTCTCCCATCTCAAGCCATCCTCCTGAGTTCTGAGTTATCATCTAGTAGATTCACTTCACTTGGAAATATTAAAATAATATATACCCATTCTGGTACATATTTGTAACCTCATCTATTCCAAATTATCTTTGCAAATTAAAGTGTATCCACTTGATACCATTTTTTCTTATATGTTTGCCAAGTTTTGGAGCAAAGGAACAATTGTAGTAAATGATACATATTTTCCTTTCTTATATTTTATCACTTTATTTTTGGACTGTTTATTTGTTTTGGAGAGGAAGAGGCCTATCAATAATGGGTTATGTGGAATTGGATTTTGTAAAATAAAACAAACTATTTAAATAGTTAAACATGAGCTATTTGGGAAAAAAACTGGGTTTTCCTTAATCCCATCTTCTCCCACCTTTTGTAGATAGTTTGTTGCTAGAGTTACAATATTTATATTTAAACTATTTTATTCGAACTGTGAAAAGTGGTTCATATAGTACACTGTGTGGAACAATTTTATATCATTGCCCCTTATGATAATTCAGTCTCTGTGTATTTAATGGTAACACTCAGGTAAAGGCTAAAACACTAAGTACAAGACATTATTAATAAAAAAGAAAAACACTGGGCTGTTTCTTCACCCTACACAGAGCACGAGGAGCTTCCCCAAGTATAGGGCAGATCTATAGGCACCTGCTCCCTTAACTTCTTGTCCACCCAGGCTAGAAAATAACGCTGTGTGAGAAACTAGTTTATGGAGCAAGCTAAATCACTGAGCTCTTAAATTACCAATGTACAAATATAGGTAATCTTTTATCCTTGAAGCATCATTGGTAAAATAAACTTCATACTTAATAAATTATTTTGGCTACAACTTACAAAGCTTATGTGAGGATGACTGTAACATTTTTTAGTTTAATATAAATATATATTCTTATACAATTGAGAAGCCTATAGTATATTGTTAATTTTAAAAGAAAAAAAGGTGATTTATTACAGGTCATAAGTGGCAAATAGATGTAATTCTTTGATGCACAATAATAGCTGTGTCTCCCATTGAGATCCTACAAGTATTATAAAGTGGAGAACTTAAGGTTTAGAATTAAATAAAAATCAATCAACTGTGTCATTTTATCGCAGAAGAATGAAGAGAGATGCTGAACCTAGAGGATTTTTCATCTGTTGGATCTTGATAAGATAGCTTGTGTGAAAACTTGGCAGTGGCTTTCTGGAAATGAAACTGGAGACATGTTAGAGCTAGAAAAATCATTTCAAATGACTGTTCAATGTATTTTCTATGTTGTTTCTGAATACTCAGAAAATACACACCTGGGTTTCCCAGGTGCCTGGGTGTATGTCAGGTCTATCTTTTGCTCCAAAAATTATGTCAGTAAACAAAAGGCCAGCATTTCTGACATATCAAATTGGACTAAAAGGAGCATGGGACATAAGGGTTGATGCAAGTTTTATATCCTGGACCCTCCTGCACTAACTATTGAAGGATGTGAAAGTGTACAGATTCAAAATACTGTGTGTCACCTTTCATGTGTAAGTGAAATATACTCTTTCACCCAACTTCAAAAAGCAGTTGCTCCGAAAATCTTGACAGTTCTTCCCTGTTGTCCAACTGGAGATTACTTCATTTTTATTATGTTTTACGTTTACATTCAATTATACTCCCCAGTCTTAGGCTCTAACCCTGTACCTCCTTTCATTTTTCTCAAAGAAAAAGAATTCTTATTTTGTCATGCCAGCGCCCTGTGATTAAAGAAAGTTATTTACACCGATAAGTTGAGTGTATCAGAGAAAGAGCCTGCTACCCAGCTGCTGACATAACGAAACTCACGCTCCCTTTTTTCTGTATGGGCCAGAGACCTGACGTGATCGTCTCCAGGAAGCCAGACCTTAATGCAGTCTGTCCATTTTTAGTTAGGCTCTTGGTGCCGAGCTCTCATCCCTGATGCCCTAGTTGCTTTCAGTGGCATTGAGTGAGTTTTAGTTTTACCTCCTATGTTGTAAGAATGGTTATGAATAGAAAGTCAGCGATGGTACAGATCAATATAATTTTAAACAGTGATTTGATGGTGGCGGAGTGCTATGAGTGAGGATGTGTAATTGAGGTAATAAGGTAATGAGATTGTATGGAATGGCTCCATGATTTAAGGCAGAGAAGCAACTATAGTAAGTGTATTTTATAAACATGCGTGAAAGTAGGGGTTTTCCTGGAAATTTGTGCGAAAAGGTCAATTTCTTGCTGGTTATCCTGACCAAATGTCTTCAGAATTCATCCAAGTCGCTAGACAAAAGAAATTAAAATCACTTCATTTAATTAATTTTTACCCGAGTTTCAAAGAAATGAAGTTCTCTGATTTTCCCTGAATTCTTCTCCAAATAAATGCTCTCTGAATGAGTTAGCTCTCCATCCCAGCCGTGGATGACTGTGTTCTCTAGCACAACTCAGCACTAAGAGGAATTATTTTTCAGTATCTCTTTTCATGCCAATAAAAACTATAGCATAGTTTTCAAAACACTCCTCCATGATAATTATGAGGACTCAAGATTTTAAATTTTAAATATGAAAAATTTACCCTCCAGTACATTCAGAGGGTAAAGGTCATTTAAATTTCCCTCTCAGGGAATTTGAAATAGAATATTTGTCTTAGACACTCCTAAAAAAATGTATTTATTCAGCAAATTTTGGGAAAATTTTTTTTTGTTTGCTTAAAACATTCTGGTACTATCTAAGGAACAACAAATTGAAATGTATGTAGTGTTTATAACCTCATCACTATCAATAAAGCTGCATTCAAAAAGAGCTTGTCTGTGATCAAATGTGGGCAATTTTGAAGTGTCTTTTTGTGATGACTGAGGTCGGTTTTTTTCTCTATTTAGTTTACATGGTGATTCGCTCCAAACAAAACATAACAACGACAAACAAAAACAAAAACAAACGGCAAAATTGAAAAGCTGTTTCAATAGCTTGAAGAAAATGAAAGAAAAAGGTGTAAAACATCAATAATGACTTGTGGTTTCTAGTCTCATTTCCACCCTGACCATTGCCAGCCTGCCACAGATGCCGGCTCATCATCATTTGTAAGGAGACTACTTTTTAGGAGGTGAAATTGTACAGACAAACCTTTACAGTCTTTCTTTCCATCTCACCTTCCAAGTGAGTAAATGACATGAAACCAAGGTAAAATTCTCAACCTTTGATCTGATTTAGTAGTTAAATACTATCATTTAGTTGAGGCCATCGTAGTCATTTCTAGAAAATCCTAAATGGCAACCATACTTTTTCTTAGACTTCAAATCTTGTAACCATTTGAAGTCATGAGATTGCCCCCCAAAGAGAGACCTGCGGGGACCACATTCCCAGTTTTGGGCATGCCTGCCCGCTGTCCAGAGACTCTGAGTTTTCTTTGAACTCCCACTCGCTCCAAGCTTCACTACAGGTTTGAACTTCCTCCCACGCTGACACATAATCCATCCATTCAATTCATGAGATGTGAAATTACTTAATAACACTAATTACATCCATGGCACTCTGGTATGTATCAAAGGTACAACCATTTTGAACATACTGTATTTTGCAAAAGCTGGTTGAAAGGCTAGAGAGTAAAAGATATCCAAAAACTCACCTCTGGGCTTTCCTCTCCTCAGAGCAGCAAGGAAGTGCACATGATGGTCCATTTCAGGAGGGACAGGCCTTGAAGGAGAGAGGAATTTCAACACATGGTGCATAGAAACACCCTATTCGGCCGCTTTGTTTTCCTTGGTAGCCACACTCACAGGTTGGTTTATGAACGAAAGTATAAGCTGCATTACTTCCATCTTCCACCAGTTTTAGACCAGACGTGTCCCTTAGGGAGGGATGAGGAAGGGAAGCACTTTCACCCGACCTCTGGAGAAATGTGTTAGCCTCTGATTAGCCCAAAGAGGCTTTATGGCTTCTTTGCCTATATTTTTCAGGGAAGCACCTTAGGAAGTCAGGCTGACTCATGCTGGAGAAACTACCATTCGGACTTTGCCTTAATATTCAATCATAGCTATAGAAGTGATTGCAATTTTCAAAACAGAAAGCCTTTGAGAATTACTATTATTTATCCTAGAAAGGTTGATATATTAAAATGGTTATAGTAGCAAACAATTCTCTTCACTCCGCCCTTATCCCCACCATAGTAACATGTACCTGAAGGAGAGGTGTATCGAGTGATATGGAGAACTTATGCCTTTTTATCTGGCTGTTTTTTCTTGGTGCTCACATTTGGGTTATCAGCATAAGCTCTACATTCAGGAATTCTGTCTCTTTCCATCATGGCGGTATCTCTAACCTCAGGTTCAGGCGAAACTGAGCAGGATCTATTTTTCATGAGCCAGAGATAGAAGCAGTCCATCCCCAACATTTTGACAAGCACTGGGCATAAGGTCTTATCTAGATGCAAAGGAGCTGGGGGGCGGGGGTGGAGAAAAGTTTTCTTTCAGCATTTTCTCTGCACTTGGGAAGCCATGGTTCTTATCTTCCTCTGTGGTTGTCCGTGGCGCAAGGAGCTTCCCAGGCAAACTGCCTCCTCTCAGCCACACCTCTGTGAATTGCTCCGCACCACAGCAAGAGCTTTCCTTTCCCCTTTTTGTTGAGTCATAAGACTTGCACTCAGCTCCCTACTATATCTTGCCTTTTCCCTTCTGAAGGACAAGTCCAGGCAATTCTTGTGGCTTTTTCTCAGTTCAGAGCCGTTGCAGTCTAAAGCATATGTTCAATGTGTTCTACAAGCCTGGAGTGTTTGCATAAATCTGATTCCAACAAACCATCGAGGAAATCCATCTAATAACCAAATTAACCCCTCTTTTCACCCTTCTTGGGTCTCTTGTCCCCCTACTTCTAAAATACTCTGAATTCTTGATTTTACCTTATCTAAACAATACTGACTGTAAATTGTACATCTGTGACTAAATTCCTCTCGAGCCTTAGGAGGAGGTTCCCAGAACATAATGGTTTTGGAAGAAGAGAGCACATCATATAGAGTTTAGATTTTAAAAGAGGAAATGCATGCATCTGTTCTTAATCACCGTAAGAAGAGAAGCTCCCTCTGGGAGAGAGAGAGAAGGAAATTGAAATGGTTGTAATCTGTCCCCTGTCATCTTCCTCAACCTTTATGAAGTTTTTCCATTTATAGCAGAGTTCCAAGTTGAGGTATGTTTTAATTTATCACAATTCTGCATGTAACAAAGAAAGTTCTGCATGAGGAAAGAATTCTTTCCTTATTTAGCACATGATCACTGGATATAACCATGCCCCAAGCACCCTGCAGGAATACCTTCGGGGCAGTGAAGGGCCAGAACCCCTACCCCACCCACCTCCCCTCACTGTGGGGAGACTGACACCTGAAACTCATTTATATATCTTTTAGATCTGGCAGAGCCAACTCTACAAAGTGCAATTAAATTAATAAGCATTTTCTTCTTGTCACGTTTTGGCTCTCTGGGTCCTGTTGGACAGAGAAGGGTAAACCCTACTCAGAGCTTGCCCTCAGAGAGCTCAGAAGGGGTAAACATTTTCCCCTTGACTGTAATTGGAGAGTATTCTCTTATTTTTCAGTCCCATGTCCAGATCATGTGCTCTCTTTCTCTGCCTTGCTCTGTGCTCTGGGAGGCTGAGCCCTAAGGATCACATCATCCGAACTCATACTCTTTGGCCCACAGGTTGTAGTTATCTAATGGGAGGCAGCAGAGAGGATCAGAGGGCAGAAGAGAGTGGTTGGGGTATTTCTTTCCTGTCTTTTCGGGGTTCGACACTGTGCTTCTGGCCATGGTCGCAACTATCTGCAACTACAGCACCTGCCAGGCGGCCCCAGCTCCCTGGCTCCCACTCACTCGCATCCCCACAGCATAGCTTCCTGCTTCTGGATATTTTCTTGCTGGTTTGTTTATGTTCTGCCATCCCTTTTAGAATACGTTTCTTAAGAGTAAAGACCTTAAATCGTCTTGTTTACTGCTATACCTCCCGCGTTTACAATACCTGGTCTATGGTACCTTGTTACAGCAGCCCCAGCCTGAGCAGACTAAGAGATAGATATATAAAGAGACAGACATACATGTACACCTTCCTTTCCTTTCCCTTTCCCCTTCCCTTTCCTTTTCTTTCCTCCTTCCCTTCCTCCCTTCCTTCCTTTTCACTTTTCCAAAAAAAAAAAGCTTTATTAGCTAAGCCATGATTCAGGATCCCAGGGTGGGATGTACCCAGGTCTTCCTTCACCTCCTTGGGAGACGGGTGGAAGACAGAAGAGACAGGGTGAGCTAGTTCAGATCTTTCCAGGAAATGTCCCTGCTGCCCCGCAGTCATCCCAGGCCGACCGACACCCAGGGAATGGGGCAGAGGGACTTGTACACATGCTGGTACCATTTGCACATGGAGTCATTGCTGCCTTCAGCGGTCATTGCCTTTTCATAGGGGTGGAAGGTACAGTAGTCTGCCAACAGTTCCTGGTCTTGTTCTGGTTGAGGAAGCACCTGTCAAAAGGGAACAGTCTGGTAGTTCTTGACTGGGGCCTTGATGTCTTCAGCCATGTTGCTTACTTTTAAAGAGGCCCCCAAAGTAGCTCATGGCTCAGCGTGACCCTCAGCAAAGACCAGACACAGACATTTCTCTATCTCTATTTTATGTTGCCAAATGATTGCATTCTGAGATTAATAGCCATTTTTATTCCATCATCTTACCTGACATGGTTGCCAAACAAGTTAATAGATAGGGTTCATTTCTTTAAAAACTTCTTAAGGGTAGCTATGGTCCTAGCCACATGAGAAAGTTGGAGTCTACTTATTGATGCCCTGAAGCTTTTTACTGATTCAGGAATAAGAGATAGAGGGACTCCTGGGAGCACGGCACCTGCAGGTAGGACCCAGTTACCCTGCAGAGCCCCTAGACCAGCCTCTATCGATGGTTCTCTCATTTCCCTTATGGGTAAAGATACTGAGGACAAGCCATTCATGGCAGAGTCCTGGGTAATGGACAGTAAGGATCCCAGCCTGAGTCTGCCAGATATACTAGGAGAGTGAGGTGTTGTAAAAAAGAAAAGAAGGGGGGAAGGAAGGGAAGGACAATTAGCAAGGAAACATGGACCTCAGTCCTGCAGCTGCAAGGAACTGGATTTCGCTAACAACCACCTAAAGGAGCATGGAGTGAGCCTCCCCTTGAGCCCATCCAATCAATACTTGGATGACAGCCTTGTGAAATCTGGAGCGGAGAAACCAGCCGAGCTCACCCAGATGTCTAACCTACAGACGTAGGGTTATATAGGGCTATAAATGTGTGTCGTTTTAAGGCACTGAGTTAGAGAAATTTGTCCAACAGCACTAGGAAGCTAGTGCACTCACTGTTCAACAAGTGGCCCTGGGCTCAGGCCCCAGAGAATGGGAGCATCCCTGTATCATCAGGTCCTTGGGGTAGGAGGAGGGCGGAGCTGTGAGGGCTCTGCCATCCAAGGTCACAGCAGCTTTGATTCAGATTTCAAACACCTGACCCCTGCATATCCATGGCTGTGGATGACTTACTGTTTTTTCCTCTAACTATAATTATTTAATTGACGCTACATTTGCTCTGACAGAATATAATCCCTAAGTCAGTGTTTCTCAAATACAGAAGTAGGCAAAAGTATATTTACAGTTGTATCATATTTACTAATACAATAATGAATAATACAAGAATAAACTTTCATATGCTCACAACTGTAAACCTACTTTTGCCTGCCCCTGTATAGATGGCTGTTACAATTCTTACGCATGCATTATTTCCACTTCAGTGAGCCCTGTAGAATAT